ATTTTTTAATTTATATCTAATCTCCAAAACACTTTCAAAAGTTAATTTTTTGAGAAAAAGTTGTCATTTTGAATCTCCCATGGGTCAAATTAATAAAAAAATGTATACCAAATGATAGAAAAGTCCCTTACGTATTTATAAAAAAAATAAATATATATTAATTCAGTCAATTTTAAAAACGTTATGGCAGTTTTAAGTAAAAAAGCCTGAAAAAATTTCGAAAATTATCGATTTTTAAATTTATACATTATTTGGATATTTCCCTCATTTATGGTGAACGAGAGATATTTTTCAATTTTTGAGTGAATTTTATCAAAAACCCAATTCATGTATCAAACAGTACTATTATGACTATTTTTAAGTATTATTTTTTATAACTTTGGTCATTTAAATTTAAATTTTTTCACAATTAAAGGCATTTTTTGACGTTTTTAATGTTAATATCTAAATTTACTATACATTTTTGAACGTATTATCCGCTATTACCTTTAAAATATTTATTTATATGTATGACCTTAGATATATATTGTATAATTCCAATTAAAATAATTCAATTATTATTGATGAATTTTTAATTATGAATAGGTATTTACTGTATTATTTTTATAGCTCTAATACATAGTATATTATATTTCCTCTCTAATGTAATAAACAATAATTAAACTACAATAATTATAATAATATAATGGTGATAATAAGGACAGGAGAGGTGAAGGTATGTAGTATAAGGTTAAAGATTATTTTGGGGTTGAACTATGCTGAGCTATCAAATAATAAAATTATTTCTACCTCATTTATTCTTATTCTTGTTTATTACTTAAATTTATAAGAAGAAAAACATGCAAATAAATGTTTGCACTTATCTTAATTTCCTTTTGTAGTTGATAAAAAATTGTTTTTGACAATAATTCTGAATTTTGGATTTTTAATGAAGTAATTCGTAGTAATTACTATTAATAGAGTAAATACTTGAAAGGTTACAAATGTTAAAAAAAATAAAATCGAATTAATTGGCCGCAACGAAAAATTTGTAACTTTCATGGTGCATCAAAAAATTAAAAAGAAAAGGGTCGCCAACCTACTGGGCGAGACAATGTATTGTCGGACCACAGTAGGATTTAAAAAAGAAATTAAATATTGTACATTAAAAACAATTTAAAAAAAAATAGAAAAGTATTAAAGATTGAAGTCGAATTCCGTTGAGTCGTTGATAGTAGATGTACACCAAAACCTCGTGACAGTTGTCACATAACCAATATGATCAGGGATGATCCTATACAAGGCCGTTGCCCGTACCTTATAAACTAGGGGAGTTGATTTTTGAAAGGAAAAAAGATAAAAAAATACACGAGTCCATTGAAGATGGAACACAGTTGAGTTAAATTAAGGACTCTATTAAAAAAAAAAAAACAAAAAAAAAATTAAGTTACTACGAGGCAAAAAACCTCGTCTACAAATTAAAGGGAAACAGAGAGAAATAAAAAATACAGATACTAATAAAAAAAATACTAGTTACGCCTACACTTTTACAATTAAATAATACAATGAACGTCTTCGGGTACCCACCGACTATTAATCGCGGCATTACCGCTAAGCACGGCAAGTATACGTTCCAAGTAAGCGACTGGTTTTAGGCAGTTAGACTTAGCTTGCAAGACGTTGGGACACCCCGGAATAAAATGCACTACATCACCACATTGTACTAACAATAGTATATATCATTAGTATACATATCACATAGAATGGGTGATATAAATGCATCACTCAATATCATTTCATATAAAACCTATATAAAAAAAAATCATACAAAAAATGTATGTAATATGACAGGTGGTATTGTAACACGCCTGTCATGTTAAGGGACCTAAATAAAAACAGGGACTCCTACGAAAAAAAATTCGCCACACGTGCTTATGGCACGGCGCACTAAAAAAAAAACTCTGGCTCAAAACATTATAAAAATATATACATTACCAGCCCCGAAGGGTTAAAGAAAACCGAGGCAGGTTCAGCCGACCCTAATATACAAAAAAAATTTACATGATACAAATTATAGTAGCAGACACTCACGCAAAATGTATATAAAAATTATAATGTTGCAGCGCACACAACAACAACAAAAACTCACGCTACGGACGAAAATTAACCGACAACCAGTTCCGATAATGGCTAATTTCCGACAAAACTTCCGTCGTTAGACCTGGCGGTTCGTTGGCGACAACACAGCTAGACTTTAGAGTAGGGATCAACAAATTTTAACTTTAAATACTCAGTGCCGGAAATTATTAAGAAAAATTTGAATCATCACATATCATAAGGCGACAATGTAGGGGCGAGCAGTGTAAATGACGTACAAGATAGGAAAGGAGCGGGGTGAATGTACACACAAATGTCGTCCATGAACCGATCCGAAGTAGTACACAGCTGACTATCTTGTACGCACACAAACAAATCACAACATCTTATCATGATTACTTAACTGATAAAGGCCGTCGCAGTACGCATTCGGTCTAACCATGATAATTCAGAACTCAAATGTATATATACAGATAGATAAAAAAATATAGTTTAAAAAAACTAAAAAACACGCTTTTAAAGTACATCGAACTAAAAAGTTAAAAATAATTTTTAAAATTAACTTAAAACAATAATGAACGAAAAATACTAGTATTATTGTGAAAAAAAGCGT